CAAATACTTAGCTATGGGATACTTTGGACAATGGAAATCATCTGTATGAGCATTTCATAGAAATTCACTTATGCCAATTGTTTTTCTGAGTTTTGTACAGAAAGATTGAAAGTAAAAAAAAAAAGTTGCCGCTATCCTGGAAAACACTGATGAAGTGGAAAGATTGCGAAAAATAAATACATAATGAAATGATTTACAAGATACAAAAGTATGAAAGAAGTACTTTAAAAACTGGGGTGTGAAAAAACAAAATAATGTGCAGCAGAGAAAATACAAAGCCCTAGTATTTTATTGGCATTAATAACACTGTTAGAAATATACATTCAAACTGTAAGCTTATATCTCGCTAAGACGTTAAAATACTTGAAGGAAACGGTCCATTTAAAGAAAATAATTATTTTGTCCATGAAATGTTTCAAATATGAATTCATATTTTAGAGGTGAACATTTAAATGCACTCTTATTTTTTTTTATGACAACCTAGGTTTATATCTCTCAATTAAATCACAAAATATCTCCCATAGCCTTGCTCTCCAGCAACACATTAGCAAAGCAACTGCCTAACCTTCTTCTATTCCTTTGGATGAATGTCAAAAGGCTTTGCCAGTAGAAAGATTTCTGATCACATTTTAATTTTCCCTTGGATTGGAACGGGGACCGTTGTGCTTGCCTGTTGAGTGCAATAGGTGATTTTGTACCTTTTGATATCTGGCAGACGGTAGCAGCAGATGGGACATATTTATAATCCCACACAGTCCCCAATGAGCAGTCATTTAAACATCTGGATTTGAAAAGGGTCAACCTTACTGGAAGGAGTTCGTATGTTTTATAACCTGCTTCACCTACCCCATCATGTCCATAACGATAGCTGAAATTCTCAAAGTCTCATGCTACTCAGGTCATGTCTCCCGCATTTTCTTATATTTTGTAATTTTTACATAATGAAGTAAGATGTTTTCGGTGAAAAAAATAAATCAAAAAGAGGGATTATTAATTACTGCATTCACCTAAGCAATAGATAGCTTTTGGACACAGTATATGGCAGACATGGTGATAATCACTTTGTTTACATCCATTCTCTCATTTAATTCACTACACCATCATTAGTTAATGATGATCATTACCCAGTGCCTATATTCTTTCCAGTAAGAAATGTATGAAAACAATCAAACCACTTTTCACACCGTGGTAGTAGTATGAATCCCAGTCTCCTCTGACACTGCTGCACCACACCCAGGAAAATGCTCTCATTATGTATACCTAAAATGTACCGATAAAGTTTGAAAAAAATCAGTGTTATCATCAGGAGAGGGGTGGCACCATGGAAAAAGTTTCCTACCTAGAATTGATCAATCTTCACCAGAAAGACTTGGCTTAGATATCAAGCGAGTTACTCACAAAGGCTATCATGCTGGACTCTAATACTGTCATGTTGGTTTCTGGTCTTATGCTGTTTCCAAAGCGATAAAAAATTAATGAGCAAAACTATATTGCCAAGGATAAAGAAAGGGAGACTAAATGGCTTAGTTTTCAGAGTTTCAAGAAGGCTGAGCACTGGCACGAAACAAAACAGAGCAAAAACATACTCAGGAATGGATAAACATGTAAAAATTTTGCTATATTAGGTATGGTTATGTCTTTTTATTTTTACTGCAGCCATACACACACACACACACACACACACACACACGTGTGTGTGTGCATGCTCTTACATGATCTTATTTATTTGGGTGAAAATTAATATCAGAGGTAACAGAGAAGTAAATGAAACAATTCAGTGTTCATTGATTCACTAATCTATTTATACATAAAACTACATTGAACAGCTATTCCATAAAACATTAGTGTCCAATCTTACAACTGGGCAGATTACTTGGGACCATGACCAATAAGGGGGAGATATGTCCCCCGCAGGCTTCTCCATCTGTCACTCTTCCTGTGCCTTAGTTCCTTACTTTGTGCCCTCTCCTGGCAAACTGTTCTAAACATCTGTGTGTCAGCGAGCTTCTTCTCACTTGACCTGTTTTAATTCCTCTCCAGACTTTCATAACCTCATTCCTAATCAACACTGTGCATAGAACAATCATGATAATTCTAACAACCGAATTTTACCTCACTTCCGTTATAAAAGACATTTTATGTTCTTTTTAACAAGTATTCTTACAAATGTCTTGCCATTTGAGGCCACATCCCATTCTTGTGGGCTCTAGTGAGCCCATCAATATTTAAAAATTGGACTAATGTGCCAGGCATGGTGGCACATGCCTGTAATTCCAGCACTTGGGAAGCTGAGGCAGGAAGATCTCTGTGAGTTCAAAACCAGCCTGGGCTACCTAGTGAGTTCCGAGTCATTCTCACATAGCGAGAACCTGTCTCAAAAAAAAAAAAAAAAAAAAAAGCCCAAGGTAATTTTTAAAAAAAAAAAAAAAAAAAAAAAAAGGCCTAATGTAACAAACCAAAAATTTAACCAATAATTTGTTCCATTTCTAAAATATCTACTATGAAATGTTGTAATATAGTACACCAAACACAACACAAACTGACAAATAGATGTTTAAAGTATGATATGAAGTATTTAATAACATACAGTACAGCAGCAATGGAGAAAGTTTGAGATAATATTGTTTTAAAGGGTTTGGCATAAAGTTGCAGGGGCCAAAAGATATTTTAGGGAACTTAAATAAACTGTTTGACTCAATGGAGAGAAGGATTTTAGTAACTTGTGAATGTCAATGTTAGCAGTAAATGGGTAGGATAAAATTATGAGAGAATGAAAAGTAGGAATTTGTGAATTATACACAAACATAAATAGCTTATCAAAATACTTTACTACTGCTAAACCCCTTTGACATTAACCAAAGCTATTTCTGGGAAGGTATGAGAAACTAAAACTAAATATTTCAAATAAAATAATTATCCATTTTATTGTTTATTGACTACTAGTTGTAACTAAAGGACTTTGTAGGTTATTAATGTCTAATATTTGGTTGCTTTCTCTAATGTGAGCTTTTAGTTTAAAGTCAATACTAAAAGAGTTTGTCAGAGACAAATGTGTCCTGTATAGTTTTTCAGCATAAGTATGGCTTCTCAATTTTTAAGATTCCATTACATCTATCTCTAAAGTGCATTATATCAGTCAGGCTATTTTATAAGTCAAAGCCTCCTAATCAGAGAAACAGCTGCATTTGTCAACAGAAATCATAGATGTTTTCCACTGACATATCCTTGCCATCCCCAAAAGAAGAATTTTGATTTAACTAAGTCCTTAAGCAAAGATTTGACAACTGTCAAGTGTTAGTGTTTAGTCACTACGTATTACTGACTGACATAACCTTCAAGGAATCCGTCTGAGAGGAGAATCATAAACGATGGTGATTTCAAAAATGGCTGATGAATTGTCTTTTGACAATTCTCTCTGACTGATACAAAAAAAGAGAATGTAGTGAATTTAGTCAAACAATTTGTGTCTGGGCCGAGGATTTAGCTCAGTGGTTCAGTGGCCTGCCTTGTGAGCACAAGGACCCAAGTTCAATCCCCGGTACCAAATAAAATAAAATAAAATAAATAAATAAAACAAGAGGTAAAGATCAGTGAGTGCATGCATGATATATTTTGAAATGTTTCAGAATTTCTGACAGGTCTACCAAAATGAGGGACTGGTGCACTAACACTTGGTATTGTTTTTGATTTAAGACAGTTTTTTTTTTTTTTTCCCTGATATATACCAGTTACATCTGTGACTAAAAATCAATCAGTCAATATTTTTCTTCAGGTCTTAATATTAGTAATATTTTAGTTAACACTTTATAGAGCTTTCAGAATAAATAAATGAATGCTGTGTAACTTGACAATATGCAAACAGCTATTTTGCCCCAAAGATAGACGACAAGACCCAGGAAATAAGGGATCGAGGGTAGAGCTACAATAAGGATTATTCTGACATTATTTTACTTTGGACTAATCACATCCAGGTGGTCCCAAATTATGTTCAGGGCCAAATGTCACCAAAAATATGACACGGCCTTAGGCAGGCCCTGAGGGTCATCTTTTTGGTAGCCGGCTTCACAAAAGAACTCTGGGTGATGAAAGCCCATTTGCAATGCACTGCGATGGGCAGGGGAGGAGACTTGAATCCACTGCAGTTGTAAGGCACCTGTGAGGTGTGAGGATGAAATTTTAGGAGGCTGAAGGTCAAAGATCAACACTAGCTTAGGCACCAGCTTCTACGGCCATGTTGTGCAACATTCCGGGAAAATGAAATATTTAATTTTTGTAAATGTCAAATTGTGATAATGTATCGGACCTTTTTATTTTAGTGTTAAGTGAAGTCATTAAATTATGTGAGGTCATTCTTTTCTCTGTTCTTCTGTTTGATGTTCTAAATGTATTTCATGAAGACATCAAAACATAATATGTATACTCAAAGAAAAATATTTTCAAATTACTTTTATTAATGTTTCAATAGCAATGAAATTTTCCATATTTTAATACATGAAAAAAGTACACAATAATGAAAATCTATACATGGAAAGAGGATAAAGAAATGATTGCTGCTTCTTGGTTCACAAATTCATTTTAATAAGGTGGCAAGCATTTTTGTGCCCTGTCAACATTTATCAAAACGTCTTACCCTGAACTCACTAAACATGTATTTTATAATCTGTCCTAAGGAGATATAGGCACACCACATTTCACTACATTTTATTGTGCTTAGTAGATACTATGTGTTCTATAAACTGGAGGTTTCTGGCAACCATGAGTCCAGAAAGCCCACTGTGATATTTTTGTAATAGCCTATCTTCATTTCATGTCTGTATGTCACATGTTGGCAATTCTGGCACAATTTCAATATTTATTTTCTATTTTTCTGATATCTGTTCTGGTGGTTTTTATTCCAGGATTCTTGGTGTTGCTATGGTTACTAGAATATCATGATGCATTGTCATGTAAGACAGCAAAGCTGCTCAGTAAGTGCTATGATCTGACCTCAAATGGTGTTGGATTCAGACAACAGCCTTCTATGAGAAGGTGTTCTCTATAACTTTCATAGCTGCAGAGGAGAGGTCAGTGACTCAATGTAAGTTTGGAAGAAAGGCTGACTCTTTGCAGGGGCTAATTTAGCTGGTGAATTTAGGTTACTTAATGCTTCACCATTTCAAAATTCCTATGGCCCCTCCCTAGGTATTATACCTCATTGACTTTACCCTTGTTGTATACATGAACAACAAAACTTCAATGACAGTGCATCTGCTTACTACATGTTAAACAATGTTTTAAACAGATTATTAAGACGTCCGACTCTTAAAAAATTATTTCATATGATCATTGTTCATTAACAGTATACTTGGTCATCTAAGCACTCTGATGGAGATCTAAAATAAGATTAATGGTGATGCCATGCTTGTTAATGTATTAGCCTGTAGCCCATGGATTAGGACATAATTTCAATTTTCAAGTCTTACTGTTTGACAAATACAAAATTTCATTTTTTATTAGCACATGTCTTCAGTACATAATAACCACTCATCGCAGGAAGTTGCCACATCTTCATAGTCATCTTAAATATTTTTTATCCTCTTCCCCTTCTCGGCCTCCTACTCCTTCCATTTCTTGGTCTCATTGCCTTTCAAGAAGTTCTTGCTCCCCATTTCCTTTATCTGTCTTTTGTTTTGCTCTTTAATTTATTTTTTTACTTTGGATTTCCATATAAGAAGAACCATAAGATACTTGAGACTTGCCTGATTTATTTTATCATCTCAAGATCCATCCATTATCTTACAAATGACTCAAATTTGCCCTTTGTTATAGCATAGAATTCCATTGTGCATAAATGTTATGCTTTTAATCCATTCTTCTTTCATATAGGCTGCTTGTGAGATTTAGGTATCCTGAATTGTGATAAAAGCATGCATGATACATGTACTGCTGTAATATGATATATTTGACTCTTTTAGGAAGTTTCCTAGAAAGGGGACAGCTTGGTCCAGTGGAATTCCTAGTTTTAGTTCTGTGAGGATCTGCATCCTGATGTTCACAGTGGATGCACTAGTTGACTTTGCACCAACACTACAAAAGGGCTCATTTCTTCTCACTGCCAGCTCTTATTATTTAATGCCCTACTGATAGCCATTCTTTCTGGAGTAGTTGGATTCTTCATTGTTGCTTTAATTTGCATGTCTCTGTAATGGCCAGAGATGTTGAAGATTTTTCATGTGTTTATGGACACTTGAAATTCTTATGAGAAGTGTCTTTTCATTTTAGTTGCCCATTTCTTGATTGAGTTTAGATATTTTTATTTTTTACATAGCCTATATATTAGACAACTTCAAGGTGTACATGAAAATTGTTTTTTTTTTTCCAGTTTTGTATGTTGTCCCTTCACTGTGTTGATTAGTTCCTTTGCTGTGCAAACATTTTTTAATTTGATATATCCCGTTTTTAGATTTTTCGTGTTATTTCTTGTGCAAATGGGATTCTATTGAGAAAGTTCTCATTTATGACCATGTCTTCAAGAGTTTTACCTATTTGTTTTCCAGCATGCTAAGTATTTCTTTTTAATATTTAGGTCTTTCATCCTGTTTTATTTTATTTTAGTACATGGTGAGAAATACAGATCTAGATTCAATCTTCTGAATGTATAGAGCCAGTTTTCATAAACATATTTTGTGTGGCAATAGCTATTGGAAATAGTCATTCATGTGATGGGTGTGAACAAAGTAAATTGAAAATCTTTCAGAAAGGTTTCTTCATTGTTGACAACTTTAAAAGCATTTATGATTCATGAGCGGAGATCAAAATATCAATAATAATAGAAATATGGAAGAAGTTGGAAGAAGTCTGCCTTTATGGTAGATAGAGAGATTTCAAGATTTCAGTGGCAGAGTAACTGTGGATAAGATGGAAATTGCTGGAAAACTACTGGATGTAGACTGTGGGGCCTGAGGATGCAACCACAACTTGGCAGCCTTGCATTGAAACACTAATTATGAGCAGTTGCTTCTTTTGAATAAGCAAAGCAAGCTTTTCTTTTCTGGAGATAATATCTTCGGTGAATATGCTGTAAACATTGTTAAATATTGTTGAAATAACAACAAAGTCTTTAGACTATTCATAATCATAATAGACTTATCAGCAGAAAGGTTCACAAAAATTGACTCCTGATTCTAAAATGAGTTCTATGGTGGGTAAAATACTATCAAATAGCATTGCATGTTGTAGAGAAATATTTTGTGAAAGAAAGAATCAACACTGAAAACTTTATTGTCTTATTTTTAAGAATTCCAGAGCCACCTCAACCTTCAGCAAGCACCATTTCAATACGCAAACATCAACACTGAACCAGACCTTGCATCAGCAGAAAGATTAAGACTTTCTGAAGGATTAGGTGATTGTCATCATTTTTTTCCCAGTAAAACATATTTAAATTGAGCTAATTTTTAAATATGTTATACTATATTTAATAGATTATAGAGTAAATACAATTTTTAAAATATTTAATAATATAATTTTTACATCCATTGACAAATCAAAAATTTAGCATGACTAATTTTATTGCAATAGTCGCTTTCTTGTAGTAGTCTGGAAACAAATTTGCAGTATTTGAAATATACTTAAATTTAAATATATTAAATTATGTATTGTGTATCACTTTAATTGTAAAATTGTAGAAAAATCTGATACATATTATGATAAACTCAAGGTTAGGTAAATTTTAACATATATTTTGCCATTCTAAAAGCAGTAAGTAGATACTACAGTGAAACATGATATAATCTAATTTAACATTATTAAATTTTCATGATATGAAATATCTTCCTCTAGTTTTATCATACAAAAGATAATGACATAAAACAGATAAGTTAAAATATATTCACCAGCTGGGCATGGTGGTGCATGCCAGTAATCCCAGTACTGGGGAGGCTAAGGCAGGAGGATCACTGCGAGTTCAAGACCAGCCTGGGCTACACAGTGAGTTCCAGGTTAGTCTCACTATGTAGTGAGACCCTGTCTCAAAAAAAACAAAAACAAAAACAAAACAAATAAAATATATTCACCAGTAATAGTCTATATGCATAGAATTATTAAAAATAGTCATAAGGAACAAAACCGATTAGACATCTTAAAATTACTTGGCTTTTCTAGTGTAAAATATGAAATAAGACATTTATTATTTCATACAATATTTTAGGTGTGCGCACATGAGTTTGTGCAACAAATTGTTACCAATTCCAATGAATTTTGTATATATACACATCATCTCCTTCGTGTTGAACACACCGACAGCATTATATGTAAAATAATATACATGTGGGTTTAGAAGAATATTTAGTGCTGTCAAATATAACCCACAGACATGCAGTAAATGCTAATAATAATAACAAAAATTCCAAATCACCAGACATCTAAGTATTCCAATGATATTGCTCTGGACATTATTATAACTTAGCAAAAATGAATTCTTTAAAAAAAAGAGAAACAAATAAGCAAAACAATTCTGTAAAATCAAAATTTAACTTACAGAAAGAAATAATCTACTGAATTTCTGGCTATATTTGTATTTTAATATAATAAACAAATTCATAAGAAAGCAAATGCTATCATTATTTATGCTTATGGTTTAATAAACATTCTTAAATTCATACTCTAGCAAATGAAGTGAATGCCAAATATTGGCAAAAACTTTAATATAACTTACTTTATATAACAATTTCACAACGTAAAATCAGAGTTGTGAAAGATTTTCAATAAGGTGAAAATTAAAATATAAAGTTAAGTTTTAAATTAAGTTATTGAAGAGATACTTTTGAAAATCGCTATATTCTAATTTATGTTTTGCATGGTTGAGACTTTGGTCTTTGGTGTCAGAGCTACATGTCCAAACTGTAACTTTGGCACTTGAGAGCTACACAAAGGAAAGCAAATATTCAAACTTTCTAAGCTGCTGTTTTCATGTAGATAAAATAGGAATAGTAATAACTGTCCATGCCGAGGTTCCTAGAAATAAATGAGAACACTCATTCATATTAATTCATATTAATTGTATAATAAATGTTGTTAATTTCAATTATACTATTTCCAGGGGATTTAACAATGAGAAATAACAAGGATTAATTCTACCTTTTCTGAGAGGAAAAAGATTTTTAACAAGACAATGAGGTGTCAATAAGCCAATCCTCCTCAAGATAAGTATGGTTGATGTTTATCAGGAAAAAAAAGAAAAAGAAAAAAAAATTGAAGCGAACAGTCAATATCGATTACTTTCCTTTTTTTTTTTTCTTTTAACTTTATTTTACTTTTGCTAGGGCACATGTCATTTCCAGAAATGTTACTGGGAGGTTAAGAAGCATCCTGGGTAATGTGGAATGGGTCGCTCGGCACGAGTTAGAATCAAGGGCCCCGGCTTTTAAAGCTCGGGTAAACTACATAGACCTTGGATTACTGTTCCAAAAAACATTACGTGTTAGGATTTTTTACTGAGAGATTTTTTAAAAAAAAAAAATCAGAACCGTACAGAATCACAAAGACAAAGGGACTAGCTTTAAATTATTTTTTAACATGAAATTAATACCTCTTGTACTTTATAATAACTTTACAAAATCAAAGGACAGATGCCCCAAGGGTGTGCATAGAAGTATTCACAAAAGGAAGAAAACAAGTAGTAGAAGACATATAGGTACTTTTATTAAGCTTATGGAAATGCAAAAAGTTAGAATTTCATTCAAGAGTTGGAATCAATTAAACATACAATTACTACAGTTTAAATGTTAAATAAATTAAGAAAACATATATAAATTTCTTTAAAAAGATAGGTGAACGGAATACAGACTCGGTGAACCAGAAGATATGTCATAAGAAAAACAAGGAAGAATGAACAGATGAATCGTGGAAGTACTGAAAAGTTAGAAAAAGCATATTTTTTTTTCTTTTTATTGAGTGTATTGGTACAATCTAGGTATACAGTACAGTTACATTCATCATTAGGATCCTGTACCTTTACATAATAGGTCTTGATTCTTATTTTTCTCCTTGTCCCTGCCCTCCTTTCACCCCCCTCCTCCCCTCTCCATTTACAAACAAACACTTTACTTCCATTTAGAAAAAGCACATTTTTAATGTTGTCTTTATATTTAGTTCAGTTGTTGGCTTAAAAAGTAACCAGTATGTTTTTATTCACATGGTGACAATAAGAGCTAGTAGGACATCTAAGCATAACTAGAGTTATGTTAGTGTCTTCTGCCACAATATCATCATTAGGCTACAGTGGCTCATTTATTTTTTGGCATTGAAAATTTATTGTAATGGGCATGTATAAAAAAAGTTGTGCATATTCATGGAACATAATGCAATGTCTGATACAACATATATAATGAATAATTTTTAAGTCAGTCAAGAAAATTTATCATCTCAAATAGTTATCGTTTCTTCATGATGAAAACTCTGAAAATCCTTCCTTCTTGCCTTTTGAAATTGACAGTACATAATTATTGTCTAATTTCTCTGTCATGTCCAACAGTATGCCAAACTTCTACTGCTACCTAACTGTAGTTCAGTATCCATTTATCAGCCTCTCTCCATTCCCAGCATTTTATTGGAAAATATAAAGCAAGTCATCTACTTCAACTGCAATAATGTTTTACTAATTACTAGTTATAAGGAAGCATATAGTTATGATCACTCTATATTACATTTAGACATTCTGGTGTATATTGTAAGCACACCTATGTATATACTCATATGTACATGCACACTTATAAATAATTCATACCTACATACACATCTGTGCATAAATGTTGTATATATGCAATTTTAAAATAACTGGAGGAGGGCTGGGGATTTAGCTCAGTGGTTCAGTGGCCTGCGTTGCAAGTGCAAGGACCCGAGTTCAATCCCCAGTACCAAAAAAAAAGAATAACTGGATTCCTACATCAAAACCAATCCTATAGAGACTTTACTAGGATAATGTTTATTTAACATGATATGTTCTGTTTTAAAATTTCCCTCTAAAAATTTGCTCAAAGGCAATAAGGATTTCTTAGAGTGTATATGGCTTTAATTTAACACCTACCATTTTTAAGCCATTATTCAATAGTCAAAAAGCATAATCTATCAAATATTTAATGTATTCAATACTAGCAGCATCAAAAGTAATATTACCATGGGAGAAAATAACTTTATAGTTATATCTGAATTTAAGAATTTTAAGGTTTTTATAATAAAAATAAAACATGAGAAACCTAGAGCACTGCTGTTAAGCCTGAATTTTATTTATTTATTTATTTATTTATTTATTTATTTATTTATTTATTTATTTATTTTTGTACCGGGGATTGAACTCTGGTCCTTGCCCTTGCAAGGCAGGCCACCGAACCGCTGACCTAAATCCCCGGCCCTGTTAAGCCTGAATTTTAAAAATAAATTCTTCCTGGACTGGGGGGTTAGCTCAGCGTTTCTACTGCCTGCCTCACAAATGCAAGGTAAAAAAAAAAAAAAAAAAAAAAAAAAAAAAAAAATCGTTCCTTCCTGAACTAACAAATAGTTGACTAAAGAAATCAACTTTTTTTGTTGTTGTTTCTAAACTCACTTAGATATCAAGGGATGCGATACTTGCATTAAATATGTTCTGAAAACACCATGAGTTGAATGTCATGCATTTTTATTTTGTGCTGCAAAATAACGTATGTATTTTAAGATTTAAAATAGCATCATCAATGGTTAGAAAGTATTAAAGCTTTAAAAATCTACTTACAGGTTTCTCAAATCATTTTATAGACAAATATTAGATCTAAAATATAAAAAAATGTCTACGATCTTTTACGTAATTCTTTCAAAGTGAGACTTTTCTAAATCTATTTCTTGTCAGCTCATGGCTTATACGATATGATTAACTCTTTATGTTATAGGGCAAGAGCTAATTACAATTCATTTCTTGAATAAGTATTTGACAAACACTCTGTTAAGATTTTTACTTCTATTTCTTCATTCATTCACTTTAAATATTATTATCCCTATCTTATTTTTCAAGAACTAGTCCTTAATGAAGTTGGCTAAACTGTCCCAAAGTCATAGAGCCAAAAGCCAATTGAAATTCAAATTTAAACACATTTGACCACAAAGCCCAATGTTCTTAGTCAGTCCACTTCAACTTTATATTTTTCACTTGATTAAAGAGAAATCCTAGGATAAATTAAGAGCTGCTGAGCCCTTTAAGTAAGACAGGTATGTTGCTAATGATACGGGCTTCACCTTCAGGGAAATAAGTAAAATTTTAAAATTACATAAAATTAACTAAAAGCCTCATATTATTACAGCCACTGCGACAAATCCAGTAGACTGTAATACAAAAGATATTTCTTTTCTGAAAATGTTAGTGATACAATAATGTCA